GTGCTACTTCAAGTATACGTGATGGTGGTTATCTGCAATTTACCTTAGAATTTTTGTGCATTTAAAAAAAAAGAAAAAGGAAATCACAGTCTGAAGTATCCCAAATGTTCTATAGCGACAACAAGCATAAAATGCTTCGAGATATGGGATTTTTGCAAGAGCCATGTAGGCTTTTGAACCTTGCATGCGTTCTACATCTTTTAATTACCAATATCATTATCTTATTTTTTTGCAGCTTTTGGCCTTAGACGCGTGGGGCAAGGATCGAACAAAGCTTCTTCCACCCCAGCCCTAACTTTTATGAATGGGCTTGAATATAAGATTATTTCGGCTTTTTATCAAGAAAACTCTTTATCAAGAAAAAAACTCTAAATCAAGGTTATGAGTTGACGATTCATTTAGCGAAATGAATTATCAAGATATAGACGTGCGGAGCTCACCTTTTGATGTAATTTACACGGTGGGCCATACCATATTATTATCTCTCTCGATAACACATTTAGGGGCTGTTTGGAAAGAGGTTTTTTAGGGGGAAAGTGTTGGAAAGCCTGCCAAAACCCCGCCTTTTGGCAGGCTTTCCACCCAAATCGCCTCTAAAAGAGACGATTTGGGTGGAAAGCCTGTCAAAAGCTGCATTTTTGACAGGCTTTCCTCCTACCCAAATCTCAAACAAACAGCCCCTTAGTAAGTTGAACTGTCACCTTTATACCCATCATTTGCTTCCATAAACCTGAGTCTAATACTAGAGGAAAAGTAACTGAGATATGGCTAGTCTATATTCAATGGAAACTTCTATGGATGTTGCGAACCATATTGTCGTCTGATAATTATGATTTTAAATCAAGTCAAAAAGCCTAGCATATGCACAAGCCTAAGGTTTCGCATTTGACGCACAAGTTCTTCGAGGATCGAGAGATCTTTTAAAGGAGGGGGAAAAACTTAAGACTCATGCGAATAACAAAAACTCAAATATAAATAATTTAAATGAGCAGATTATGGGATATATTGTATGCCACAAAGGCAAAGCCTATTCATATTGGGGTAGTGCACGGCACTGGAGCATCTAAGAATTGTTCCTACCGAGACTATTTGGTTGTTTTGGATCCTTGATAATTAGATAAAAGGGATAAAATGGAACGAGAAAATTCTCCAGGGACCCAAAATATGGGACCAATAAAGGGGACAAGTGAGATGTCCCCCTCCTATTGGATAAAGAGTTGATCATCATTAATGATGACCAACTCATTATCCAATAGGAGGGGGACACCTCACTTGTTCCTTTTATTAGTCCCATATTTTGGGTCCCCGTAACAAAGCTCAATGGAACGAGATCCCTAGTGACCAATCAAAGCGAGAAGGAATTGAAACTTTAGGATATCAAAGCATATCAAACGGTTACTTTGGGTCTCAAATGAGAAAAATGGATAAGCTTTAGGGTCCATAAGTAAAAGGGGCTTTTGGATATTAGTTTATTAAATTTATGAAGGTTAGAAATTAGCGCCTCACATTATTAAAATTGCTATGGGGTCCTTCTATTCTTAGGTTCTTTTAAACTCAGTCCCTTAAATCAATAATTGAATTTTACAATTAAGGAGATTCACAGGAAAAAAAAAAAAGAACATATGGGTCAAGTAGTAGGGGCTAATTGCTGCTTTCACTCTTTGACCGGAGGGATTAATTTCATAATAAATTAAGAACTGCGTGTCCCAAATATAAAATATGAAATATGTAAGGGACTAACGTAAAATAAACAAACACGCCCCTAAAAAAACGAACAAAACTATCCAACAACCCTCTCTCACTCTCTCAGATAGATCCAACCCCTCACTTCCCCGCTCTCCAGTCCATGGGAGACAAAGGATAACGGCGGGCAGCCGCCGACCGCGCGCCGCGACGGACATGCGCGATGAAACTCAGTGCACCGCCACAGCCGTGACCGCAAGCAACGCCGCGGCGGGAATCGGTGGCCGCGGGTGCTGCCTCGGCAAGAGGAAAAGGCTCGGGCAGAGCTCGCACTCCTCCCACCCATCCCTCCCCTCCCTCCCGACCCGCTGCACAGACCCTCCCCGTCCCTGCCCCCTCCTCCTCGCGCGCCCCCCGTCCAGCCCAGAAGCCGACCAAGAACACGGCGGCGCGCGCGGAGGTGGCGCCAGCAACGCATCTCCTCGAGAACGCTTCGTGCTCAGTCGTAGAGAGTCGTTGCTGCCGCGCGACGGGCGCCGACAGCCTAAGGAAGAGAGCTTCTTGTCTTTCCTCCATCTCAGCTCGTCCTACATGGACACCAGCAAAGGCGAGATCCACATGTGCTCAGTCCCGGAGGTCGAGACTGAAGCAAAACGAGAGAAACCCGACGCTAAAACCCTAAAACTGAGCGGAGACCACGTGTCGTCGTCGCGAGCCGAAAGATAGCAGATCGAGATCCTGTCGGCTGCGGAGCAGGAGGCTTCTTTTTTCCGGGACCTTCTTGGAGCGGATCTCGACCGGATTCGGCACTGCCCCTCCCGAAGACGTCGAGTCGCACCGCGAATCCAGCGCAAGACGCGGTCATCGTCATCAGCAGCTCGGGTCGCAGACGGCGAGCAGACATCGAAGGAGGGTAGTCAAGTGCGCGGATCTTCGCGGGTTTCGATGATCTCGTCTCGTCTGTCGCCTACTGATCTGCAGCCGCGCTGTCGCGCGATGCCTCTTTTTGGTACGAGAAGAAGACCGAACGCGGCGAGGGCGTCGATGTCGATGGTCCGAGATTCACGGAGCTGGGCCTGGGCTTTTGCGAGCCCAATGCGAGCGTTCAAGCCCGCTCCGGCATCGAAGTCTTATGGGCCGAGAAACAGCGCCGTTAGCAGAGTTAACGGCGCAGGTAACGGCAGTGGGAAGGTTGGCGGTGGGAATCCATCATTGTTAGCTGTTGGGGGAGGGTAAAATCGCGTCGCGTTCCTCAATGGTAATTTACATTTTACTCCAATATTTTTTTTTTCGGGTTGCGATTTGCTGAAAATATATTCGTTGTATGCAATGTAGCTGGGGTCTCTCTCTCTCTCTCTCTCTCTTTGTAGGCATTGATTATTACATTATTATAGTTGAGATTGTAATTGATCATGTGCATGTCTGAGCATCAGTCCCTGTGAAATAATTAGTGGGGTTCAGATTTTTGTTCTTTTTGGTTTTTTCTTGTCAATCAAAAAGGAGGGGGGATCTTTCCTTCCTTTCCCTTTCAGGGTTTGGATTCATCGTGTTGAAGTCGAAGTTGGGGAGGGAGATAATACGTTGAAAAGTATGCATGTTCCAATAAATAGTTGGTGTATGGCTAAAAAGAGAGAATATCTCAAAATATGGGACCAACAGAGAGAATATGTGAAGTATCCTCCTCTTATTGCATAATGAACTGGTCATCATTAATAATTGTCAGCTCATTATACAATAGGAGAGGGACACCTCACATATCTCCCTTGTTAGTCCTATATTTGGGTCATTGTAGCAAAACACGTATTGCAAAAATGCCTCAGGGACCCGGGTGCTGCTACAGGGATCTCAAATAGGAGACCCCAGGGGAGACATGTGAGGTGAATAGTACATCATGCATTCAGGGGGAACATCTTACCTGTCCCCATGGATCCCCTATAATTGGGGTCAGTGTAGCAGCACTCTTTGTATTGATTAAGCTTAGAATTTTGTGTTGCACATCTCTTATTTCTGACCCTATTATTACCAATAACATGCCACTTTTTTTCGTGAATTTATGTGGGACTAAAGTGCTAACGTATAGGTTGGAGGTAACGTATAAGTGCAGGGGAGTTTAAGTGCTATTGCAAGCATAAGTGACAGGAGTAATCTGCAAATTTGCTTAGAATTTTTGTATATCCGAAAAAAACCAGTCTGCGACATCTCAAAATAGGGACCTCTAAGCTTAAATACTTGGAGATATGGAATTTTTATAGGAGCTATGTAAGCTTTTGATCCTTGCCTGTGCTCTATATGGTGGTGTTAAGAGAAGATGATTCAATTAATTAGTACGTGCATTTTAAATTTTTTTTTTTTTTTTTTTTTTGCGTTGATCCAAAGATTTCTCGTTTCTTTGAATACCGAGTGTCTTTTGGATCTGATCATATATCCATTTATTTTGAATGAGGAATACTTTGGACCCATGTTTTTGCACCCAAGGAAGATGTCCACACTAATTTTACAAGTACAACAACAAATAAAAGGGTGTTTTTCTGCAAGACCTCTTTTTTCAGAAAGAACCTTTAAGAACAGACCAAAGTTTCTCATAGATAACAATGTCAATGACAATATCCTCCTTCCGAGGTTCTGAAAGTACATGGCTAAAGATGTCGAGTGACACAGACACCCATGTCTGTTTGTCGAGTTTCTTTTTTTTTCCTTTTCACCTTTTTTTCAGAAAAAACCGATAAGAGTATTCGAATCCGGGACCGTTAAGCAGATAGCGGACCCGCTCGTGTCACGGGCTGATTCTTTCACTACCAGTCAGTCTTTCCCTCACTAGAATGGCTAAGTCAGCCTAATCCCTCAAACACTCACTCAAGAGAAGGGAAAAGAACACTCAATAGTGAAAGTAGAAGCTCTTATTGCTTTATTGCTTAGCAACTCTTACTTGATACAAATGAAATGCCTTAGCCCCCTATTTATAGGCAATGCTAGCTTACAATGGATGGCTATGATTAGCCTTCTAGGTTGTTCTTACAACCAATGGTTAGGATTGGGTCTCTAGACACTTCTTCTAAAATATCTCCCTAGATATTTACATAGGATTTTCCTAGAAGCTTCTAGATACAAGATATTTATCATACATTTAATTATGCAAGAAAACTCTAGAAAACCCTAGGATCTTCATGCACCCAACCATGAATAAGTGAGTCCAAATACACCAAATTGAGCCAAAATGGGGCGGTTCGTGACACTCGACTATCCCGACATCATTAGGCTAAAAAAGCATTTCCTTTTAATACAACTACAAGATTATGCGGCTTTTAAAAGTGGGAGAATGATATTAAGCTATTCGCATTTTCAAGGCTTTTAAAAGTAAGAGAATGATATTAAGTTGTTAACGACATAAATTACAACAAACTATGGGCTTGCAGCCCACAATTTCCTCCCATTACAACGTAAAGGGCTGGTCCACTTCCTGATCACAAAAAGACACAAGTATTGGGCTCCTCACCGTATGCAGCCCATCATTCCAACTGTACTCACCAGACACGTAACCCCCACTCCCCATCGCATCAGCTGTAAGGGTGATAACAAAGCTCTTCTTCTCGCCCGCTTCTTCAAATGTCAGCGAGTTGGGCCGGATGTCGACCTTAAGCCCATTGGGCTCGACCACGCTCACATTGTACCGGGCTTTTCTCTGGCCCACATTCGTCACGGTTCTGGTAACATTGACGGCGCCACAGAGACCGGTGACGGCCAACGATGGGTGGTTGAGATTAAATGTCGACGGCGGATTATTTGGGCAACGGAATGAGTCGTCCATCTGTGCATTTATACTTGAGCATGCGAAGAGAAGATAGTCTTCGTAGGTGGCGTCGTACACTAGGCCTGGATCCGCTGCATGGCTGGGCCTCATGTGGCCCGAGCCAATGTCCATGGGCCCTGCTGGGTCTAAGGCCGCGGTAGTTATTGGGCTGCCCTCTGTGTTGACAGCAGTTGCTGAGGAGGGAAAGTTCATCACATGGTAGAAACAGACGTCGCCGATTAACCCAATATGTGCAAAATAATGAGTACAGCAAAAAAGGAAAAAGGTAACAATGTACAAGTGGATATACACTAATATACAGGATAAAAACAAGTGCATTTGTAGGAAGTTATAGGTTGCTGCTACTGAGGATAAGATGACAGAGAATAGTTTGGGCTGGTCAGTTCATCTGCATCAGAGGCTATTCAATGGACCAATTAGGTGATAAAGAGTATAGTTAATGGAGAAAGGACGAGCAGAGGCAGGCCTAAGAGAAACTTGGTTGGAAGCAGTTACGAAGCACCTGATAATGATTAACTTTGCGGAGGAGATAGTACTAAACAGAACTAAATGGAAGAGTAGCATTCGCGCTAGTCAATCTCCAAACATTGTGATAAATGATCGACTGTCGTTATTGTTAGAATGCTTGAGTAGTTTTATATCGGTCATGATTTACTTCAGTTACTTTTAACGGGCAACATTAGCATAAACTCCTAAAGTACGTACCTGTGGTCATTATAGCAGATTTTATCGCAGCGGAGCTCCAAGTTGGGTGTAAAACCTTGAGGAGAGCAGCAGTGGCACTTACATGGGGGCACGCCATTGATGTGCCATACATAATGTTATACTTAACACTTCGACGATCACCATCAAGCTTACTGGGTGACGATGATTCGCTCCATGCTGCTAAAATATTCAGGCCTGGTGCTGTTACATCAGGCTTGAAACGAACAGTTGAAGCAGGATTAGATATGATATATAGGGCATTTCGCAAAACAAAAAGTTAACTTTGTTCAATACACCCCATATAAATTTGTGTTCGACAGTTATCAGTGTGTAACATAAGGTGAAGGGCCCTATGTTTTTTTTCTATTTACCACAAAGTTGAGTTATACTTTACCACATAAAATTAGATTCTTCCATATATAGATAACCAACAGATAAATTTATATGAGATGTATAGCCATCCCCTTGTATATGTTAGAAAGGGGTGTAGATCAAACCTCAATTCCGGCGAGGAGCTCCGGCGAAACTCCGACGAGCTTGAGAACCACGCAGGCGAGCGTGGACGTCGACTCAGGCGAAGTCGACGGCGAACTGCAGGCGCAGTTTCAGGTGGAGCTCGAGCAGGCGAGCTCAAATTGTGGGAAACGTGACCCTCGCGTTTCAGACACCGACCCTCGCGTTTGGGATACCGACCCTCGCGTCCAAGCTCTGACGTCCGCGTTTTGGCGCTCCAACGTCCGCGTCTTCGCGTGGCTGGCGACAGCCTGTCGCCAGCTTGTCATGTTTGCTTATATAAACCCCTCGTCGCCCTAGGGTTTTGCGGTCACTTCTCTCCTCTGATTTTTCTCTGGCGGCGGCACCAAAAATAACGCAGCAGCGTTCCTCTTCTCCAAACCTTGAAATCGCAGCAGTGATTTTGGTTCTTCATCTCCAGCTCTCAACCGTGCATTGAGGGAAGATTAAGAAAGGACTTTAGAGAGAGAGAATTGAAAGAGTTTATTCCCTTTAATTATTAACACTGTAGCTACAGTGTTCATCTTTGAGAAATCTCGGTTTTGGGATTTGCTCTTGATTTGTAATTTCTTGTTTGATTAATAAGAAATTGACTGTGTGGCTCCCGAGGACGTAGGCAGTTGCCGAACCTCGTAAATCTTGGTGTACTTTTTCTATTCTGCGTTTCTGTTGCATTAGGGATTTAGGCGTTTAAATTCCCAATAACTGGTATCAGAGCGTGAAACGATCTAGCGGAAGTCAGATTCAAGTGGGAGCCATGGCCGCAGATGAAGGAAAGGTGAGATTAGAGAAGTTTGATGGATCAGATTTCAGATTCTGAAAAATACAGATAGAGGATTATCTGTATTAGAAAAATCTGTATCAACCTCTCTCGGGGAAGAAGCCGGAGGGTATGAAGGAAGAAGATTGAAATCTTCTGGACAGAAAAGCCCCCGGGGTTATTCGTTTGACGTTAACCCGTAATGTTGCTTTTAACATTGCAAAGGAGAAGACCACGGCGGGTCTTATGGCAGCACTCTCAAATATGTATGAGAAGCCATCAGCCTCAAATAAAGTCCATTTGATGAGGCGGTTGTTCAATCTGCGAATTGTTTTCAGCGAAAGTTGGTTTCGTTGTGGAATTCATTATATCTTCGGTCGATTATAACAAATTCAAAAGAAATAGCCTTTTTATAAGACTTCTCTTACACAAAAAAAAAAGATTACAACTTTTTAGAAACAAACGCATGATCGTTGTTTGGATCGCTGCTTGCGTGGGATCTTTGCCTGTGCCGGGAGCGCTTTGACTCGTGGACCACCGATTCACAAATTCTGATTGAATCGTGAAGGTTTTGGGAATTCTTCCTTCGTTTATCGAAGTAAGAATCTTTAAGCGAATATCTTATCGATGTAAGATGTTCACTCTTCCAAAGATCAAGTCAGAGCTTAGATCTCTAGGAATCGCCAAAGGCTTCTTGAGGATGTTTGTGAAGAAGGAAGACTCTCTCTCTTGCTCTAATTCACCAAAAGCTCCAGTCTCCTCTGCTCCAAAAATGCTCTCCCCCTTTTATTTCGTGCCTAGGGAGGTATTTATAGGGGTAGGAATGCACCACAATAGAAATGAGGGCGAAACAACTGACCAAGTAACTGTTCTTTGGCCGCTGCAGTCGACACTGCCGCGGCTATTGGCGCGACAGTGTGGGCTGCCGCGGCCAAAGAGACGGGTACCAGCACGTTCCATCGTGCTTAAAACCATTCTCCCACGACCTTTAACTACTTTTTTCGTGGTTTAACTGCTTGTCCACGTCAGCACACGTTCTATCTCTGATACGCCGCTGGTAGCGGTGGAGTGCTTCCTTCGATTGATCGCGTCGAACTTGCTCTCCGTTGACGATCCGACCGTCCTTCTTCACTGGAACAATTGAAGTGCTTGATGACTTCGGTTTAGAACTCTTGACGAGTGTAAAGAACTCTGAACGAGTTAAGAACTCTGACAAGAGTTGTTGAAAACCGAATGTCTGGTTTGATGTGACTAACTTGTGTTGCAAGTTAATTAAGAACTCTTGACGAGTTTAAGAACTCAGAATGAGTTGAAACTCTGTAACAGAGTTGTTGGAACCGAAGATTCGGTTAATTGCCAAGTGGATGATACCCTTGATGAAAGGATCTTTCGGGATTTGATTAACTGATCATTGATCAGTTCTTTGATCTTCAAAAGATCTCCTCCTTCGTGTTGTTGAACTGCTGAGATTTGTTGACCTTAGGCGGTTTTGATGCCAGCTCACCTCAACCCTATGCGGTTTTGATATCAGAAAATCGATCAACCGACCAACCGATCAACCCCTTACTCAGTTGAGTAAGTTGGTTATTTATAGGGTGATGTGGAGTGTAACCAACCCCTATTTCCGCTCCTTAGTGGGCGAGAATCCCTCAGAACGTGGGATAACAGTTTTGAGGCCGTTCGGCTTGTATTTGAACAAGTCAAAACGCCTCAGTCGGCGTTCTGGGGTTTAACTCTGCGTCCAAGGCTTGAGACGCAGAGTTAAATCTCTGTTAGAGATTTGAGACGCACAGGCCGTGTGCGTTGAAGCTCAACTCTGCGTCCAGAGTTTGGGGCACATAGTTGAGTCTATTGAAGAACGCACGTTATGTGTGCGTCTTGTACTTTAACTCTGCGTTACAGAGTTCGATGTCTGCTGAGGAACACACAAGTGTGCGTTTTGAACTTGAGAAACGCAGGAATGACTTTCTGCGTTTGAGAGAGGTTGTTGACTTGTAACCTCATCCATTATAACATTGCAAAGGCTATTGTTTATTGATTCTTGCCTGTTATAGGATATGAGAGTCGTCAAGATATGAGAGTCGTCAGATTGTAACTCTCACTGTTGATTGCGAAAGCTGCAGAATAGAGCTTTCATCAATTGTCGGAAGCGTCGTCGAATTGTAACTCTTCTCGATCTACGTGAAAGGTCCTCTATTTACCGCTTTTGATTGTCGACCCGAAAGCTATTTGATTGTAGCTTTCGTTGTTGGAGTTAGACGGGAATCAACATCCATAGTGTTTTGAAGATGAATATTTGCCCATAGCTCTCTACCAAGCAACTCACCAACTAAGTCCAACCTTTTATTTCTGAAATCATTACACTGCTCATCAGCATCTCTAATAGTTGCTAATATCATATTAGTCATGCTGTTGTCGCAGCCATCAAGATCAGTCATCTCAGAGATGAGGCCGTGTTTATAGCGGTTGCAGAATTGCGGATGCAAAGATCAGAAAGTCGTCTGATTGTAACTTTCATTATCAGGGCTTGATAGGGATCGACTATCTATTGTGATTTTTAGACAGCCTACATACACCCACGTTCCCTCGTGCTTGAAACCGTTCTTTCACGACCTTTAACCACCTTTTTCGTGGTTTAACTGCTTGTCCACATCAGCACACGTTCTATCTCTGATATGCCGCCACGTGGACTTCAAATAATCATCATATAACTGCCTCGTAACCGCCATAGCACGCCCTATAATAGCCGCTACACCTTAGGCTGTCGCGCCTTAGCCGCGGCACGATATGCTGCCGCGCCTTAGCCGCGGCACCATATGCTGCCGCGCCATGGCCGCGGCACCATGATCTGCCGCGCCTGAGCCGCGACACCAAGCGCTGTTTGGTTGTGTGTACATGTCGTCTCACTTCCTTTGAATGATTCCCCCTGATTAAGAGAATGGCGTTTATCGCCTTTTCTTTGTCTTGAGTAGTATTTGGATGTCTGTAAGTATTTTTTGACGCCTACACGAATGGCGGAAGGTGCATCGGTAGCGCATCATCTCAATGAACTCAATACAGTCACGACCCAATTGAGTTCAGTTGATATTGAGTTTGATGAAGAAGTTCGAGCGTTGATCCTTTTGTCTTCCCTACCAGAGTGTTGGAACGCTACGATCACAGCTGTGAGTAGCTCATCGGGAAGCAACAAGTTGAAGTTTGAAGACGTTCGTGATCTGGTTCTCAGTGAGGAGATCTGACGGAGAGAGTCGGGTAAAGCTACAACCTCTTCAGTATTGCATACAGAGTCAAGAGGTAGAAGTTCAACCAGAGGAAATGGATCAGATGATTGGAGATCCAAATCCAGAAATCCCAACAGTTCGAATGCTATCGAGTGTTGGAAGTGCGGGAAAACCGGACACTACAAGAATCAGTGCAGGAGTGCACGGGAGGAGTGGGAGGCAAATGCAGATGTGAACATTGCCTCCACCTCAGGAGGAGATGATGCGTTGATATGCTCTTTGGAGAGCAAGGAGGAGTCTTGGGTGTTGGACTCGGGAGCATCATTCCATGCTACTTCTCAGAAAGAATTCCTCGAGAAGTATATCCCCGGAAACCTTGGAAATGTATATCTTGGTGACGATCAAGCATGTGCCATTATTGGCAAAAGTATAGTGAAGATTAAGCTGAATGGGTCAGTATGGGAGCTGAAGGATGTCAGGTATATTCCCGACCTGAAGAGGAACTTAATCTCAGTAAGCCAGCTGGCTAGTGAAGGCTAAACGACGACTTTCCATAGTGATGATTGGAGATGACTGGAGGATTTCGAAGGGCGCAATGACGATTGCCCGAGGCAGGAAGACTGGTATCCTATATATGACAGCAGGTGCACGTTGTTTGATCTTAGTTACAGCAGACAATGAGACTTCAAAGCTGTGGCGCCAGAGACTCGGTCATATGAGTGAGAAGGGGATAAAAATCATGCACACAAAGGGAAAACTCCCAGGAGTGCAGTCAGTGGAGATTGATATGTGTGAAGAATGCATACTTGGAAAGCAGAAGAGAGTTAGCTTTCAGGCAAGTAACAGACTCCCCAGGAAGCAGAAGCTAGAGCTTATTCACTCAGATGTTTGGGGACCAATAACTACCGCGTCGATTGGTGGGAAACACTACTTCGTGACTTTTATTGATGATCACTCTCGGAAAGTATGGGTCTGAAACACTACTTCGTGACTTTTATTGATGATCACTCTCGGAAAGTATGGGTCTACTTTCTGAAGAAAAAATCAGAAGTGTTTGAGGCTTTCTCACTCTCGGAAAGTATGGGTCTACTTTCTGAAGAAAAAATCAGAAGTGTTTGAGGCTTTCAGAAGATGAAAAGTCATGGTCGAGAATGAGACCGGTTTGAAGGTAAAGAAACTCAGAACAGACAATGGTGGTGAGTATGAAGACACCAGATTCAAGAAGTTCTGCTATGAGCACGGGATCAGAATGGAGAGAACCGTGCCCGGCACGCCTCAGCAAAATGGTGTAGCTGAGCGGATGAACTGAACGTTGACGGAGAGAGCCAGAAGCATTCGCGTACAGTCAGGCCTACCGAAGCAGTTCTGGACAGAAACAGTCAACACAGCAGCTTACTTGATCAACCAAGGTCCATCGATTCCATTGGAGCACAAAATACCAGAAGAGGTATGGTGCGGAAAGGAGGTAACCCTCTCACATCTCAAAGTTTTCGGTTGTGTAGCTTATGTGCATATAAGTGATCAAGGCAGGAATGAGCCTGATCCCAAGTCTAAGAAATGCACATTCATCAGGTATGGTGAAGACGAGTTCGGCTACCGTATTTGGGACAACGAAAACAAGAAGGTGATCAAGAGTAGAGATGTGATATTCAACGAGAAGGTGATGTATAAGGACATGCACAAGACAGATTCCAGTGACTCAGAGAGCGAGTCAACATTTGTAGATGCAGATGATATCCCAGACAACCTCTCTGAAGAACCCAATGCAGAAGGTCCTCAGCCAGAAGAGCCTATTGGACAGAACAGTGCGCAGGAGCCCGACGCACCAGCTCCGATATTGAGAACTACTCGTCCTCCTGTGCCAAACAGCAGATACATGAATTATATGTTGCTGACAAATGGAGGAGAGTCTGAAAGCTTTGATAAAGCTTGTCAGAGTGGAGATGCGAGCAAGTGGGAGTTTGCTGCGAAAGAAGAGATGAAATCTCTGATCTCCAACCAGACATGGGAACTAGCTAAGTTGCCCATGGGGAAGAAGGCATGTCACAACAAGTGGGTGTATCGAGTGAAAAAGGAACAGGGTGGTTCCAGAAGATACAGAACCCGACGAGTTATCAAAGGATTTCAACAGAATATCCAAGAAAGAAAGTATCCAGCGGATATGTTGACAGAGGTAGTGACCTCTCAGAAACTGGAGTTGTGCGTAACTTCAGTTGGCCTTCATGTATAGATGATGAGGACGGAGCCACACAGAAGAGGAGCTTGATGAGATAGCCTGTTGACGGCGGTTTGATCTCCAAGTGGGAGATTGTTAGAAAGGGGTGTAGATCAAACCTCAATTCCGGCGAGGAGCTCCGGCGAAGCTCCGACGAGCTTGAGAACCACGCAGGCGAGCGTGGACGTCGACTCAGGCGAAGTCGACGGCGAACTGCAGGCGCAGTTTCAGGTAGAGCTCGAACAGGCGAGCTCAAATTGTGGGAAACACGACCCTCGCGTTTTGGATCCGACCCTCGCGTTTCAGACACCGACCCTCGCGTTTGGGATACCGACCCTCGCGTCCAAGCTCTGACGTCCGCGTTTTGGCGCTCCGACGTTCGCGTTTTGACGCTCCGACGTCCGCGTCTCGACAGGCTGTCGCCAGCCTGTCATGTTTGCTTATATAAACCCCTCGTCGCCCTAGGGTTTTGAGGTCGCTTGTCTCCTCTGATTTCTCTCTGGCGGCGGCACCAAAAACAACGCAGCAGCGTTCCTCTTCTCCAAACCTTAAAATCGCAGCAGTGATTTTGGTTCTTCATCTCCAGCTCTCAACCGTGCATTGAGGGGAGATTAAGAAAGGACTTTAGAGAGAGAGAGAGAATTGAAAGGGTTTAGTCCCTTTAATTATTAACACTGTAGCTACAGTGTTCATCTTTGAGAAATCTCAGTTTTAGGATTTGCTCTTGATTTGTAATTTCTTGTTTGATTAATAAGAAATTGACTGTGTGGCTCCCGAGGACGTAGGCAGTTGCCGAAGCTCGTAAATCTTGGTGTACTTTTTCTATTCTGTGTTTCTGTTGCATTAGGGATTTAGGCGTTTAAATTCCCAACAGTATCTTGATTTTTGGACCAGCGTTGTGTCGGGCACTGCGTATCTGCGTCGAAGTAGGATACTCATGTACATGTCCACTAATTATAGAGAACAAGACATAAAGAATAGGAATTTGTATCTGATGATTGGAATGAGGCTTGTTGAATTATGTTTTGATGAAATTCTTTTTATTTGTATCCAGTTTTTATGTAAATTCTATATAGACTTATTTTCTGTTTAATTTTACAATATAGATTTTAGCTGACAGAATAAGTTTGCTTTCATTTTTTTAACTGATTACTGAGTCTGTCCTTGTCAGTGAAAATATCACTGAAATATACCTACCGAGGGAGAGAAAATGAACTGAGAAAATAATTTTGTAATCATAGGTATTCTGCTCGCTCCACATCAGTAAGCATTTGAGTTGTAAACAACTAAATTTGGACAGAATAATCACAGTAGGAAAAATCGCCATTTGCCACATAGTCCTCATTTTGATTAAGCTCGATAGTTAACAAACTCCTAAATGTTTTCTTTCTGACTTAATTAAGCACACTTGGCCAAGGGATGGAACTTGAATTCTCTGAATGTAGAACCCTGAAGCATGCTCAGGCAAACAGCATATAAAAACTATTGCTACTGCTTTTCACAAATAAAAGTTGATGAGCAATACCTTGATAATATTTGGTTCAATCAGATTTGGTCCTCGAGATGAAAACTCCCCGACAAGTGGAGCAGGCTTAATGCCCAAAACAGTATTAGCCTTGCCAATCATGACGGTAGGTTCATCTGTAGAATTGATATACTCCAAAATTTCCAGTGCATTTTCAGATGATACTGCAGTTCCCGGCAGGACATGTGCATCAACTACTAACTCATTCCCATACCCAGGGCTATTTCCTAATATGATTGCAGCTCCGCCTGCCCTCTTAACTTCCATCCCCTTTTCCACTCTTAAGCCAGCCCCTCTGAAGCAAAGTATTACTTTTCCACGAGCCTTCTCCGCTGAGAGGGAGCCTGGGAGACATTTTCTACATAAAGATTACAACTGTTTTCAGTATGAAAGGGAAAGTAAAGATATCGTACTAGAGCAAATATTCATAGAAACTGAGAATGCACCCCGAAACATGGATTGATGTGTCTTCAATTTCAGCATCCCCGGCATAGACTAAGGGGTACATCTCTCCCTTCTTCAGCTCATAAGGTGTGACTGTTTGACCCTGATATAGTTTGTTATTAAGGAGAGTAGTTAGCAACCATAATTGTAAAACAACTTATTAAACAGTTGAATAAATAAATTTAGATTAGTACTATGTACAAAAGCATACAAGGGGGAATAGAAACAATATGATGAGTCGATGACATGATACAACTATACAAGGGATTTGAATATTTTTATTTACTTTCTTGCTAGGGCCCTTTTCATAGACCTATCACAATATGCACAAGACCCTGGATGAGTGTAGGAAAAAGTAAGTGTAGTCCTTGAGTTGTGACGATTTACCTTACTTTCCTTGAACAAAGAGATAGTTTAGTGAAAGAAATCAGACTTATGTCTAGATTCTTTTGAAACCCGCTATATTTTAGAATGGCTTATTTCACACCCCAGGATCTGGGAACGTATACTTTAATATCTCTACACAGGATAAGTTTCTCAACTTCCTTTGTTTAAAACATTAAGCAGGTATCCAATTTTCTTAAGTTTGTGCCTCCACGCCCCCTTTCCAGAGGTGTTTATCTATGCAGGTCATACACAAGGCAGTCCTGTCATGATTATAATAGTAGTAAGAAGACTCTAGCCAACCAGGATATGAAGTGTTCTTCACAACAGGACATGGTTATGTAGTTCTAATGCACAAAAAAAGATTGAAAACATGGTATTCTTTTACCAAGAAATCAAGCATCGAGCTTACCCTACCATTACTAACTTCTCGGCTAATAATTAGGAAATATGAATGAGATGGATCGTAGAGTTTAGACAAATATTAGAGGTTGGCACATCCAGGTAGTAGTTCTGTTCCATTTTGTATTTATATCAACAATTTGTGAAGTATAAATAGAGAAGTTAAATGTTTACTATGGGCCTTGTTTAGTAATTAAAGTTATTAGACTGTAATTTCCCATATCATGTTCAGAAAGAAAATAAAAACATTATTGTTGCTCAAAGGAGCGCTTGCAGTTCTTCATAAAAGTTGTGGCTACACTCCACCAAAAATAAATATTGTTTCAAGTTTCAACACGTGACAGATAAAAGTAAAGTTTTGAATTCAAATTATAGGAATTTTTAAAGAAAAGTAATCGAAAATTGAAAGAAGGTAAGGGGGTGTTTGGTTCATTTCCTAAAAATATAATGGAATCCCATCAAGAAATCAAATCTATTGCTTTTGATTGGTATCTTGGAATTGCTAATTTTTTTGTTTGGTTCAACATGATAACTGGGAAGCAAAGAAAAGGTTTCTACAAAGTGCAAAAAGTAACCAATTTTTAGGATTTGCCAAATCCTAATTTTTGAACATATTAATGTCACCTCAACATTCCTTCGACATTCTCTCCCCTCTCTCTTTCTAACTCTCTCTTTTTAGTTTTATATGTTCCCATTTTTCTGAAACAAACATAATATATGGAATAATATTATGCCAAAAGTACCCTTTTTGTTCATAGAAATGCTGTCCTACCTCAAATCCTAGAATTTTCAGTGGACCAAACAGCCTCTAAAAGAAAAAACTTCAGATCGGTCAAAACTATAATAAAAATTTTCCTTAGATCAAATGCAGTCAACAGTTTTAACCAGGAATCAATATAACCAAGTAACTAACTGCTACATGCAAAATGGAAGTTATCAAATATAACAATAAGTAATTACCTCAATCATCTTGCCACTGCCTAGTAGAACCATAGAATCAAATGCTCGATCAATGGAGCTTGCTCCAACGGTGATCATCCAAGGCGCTAAGTTCACCACTGTCGCAGGATCTGGCCCTTCATTACCCCCACTGCATGCAACAACAATGCCTCTCTTTGTAGCATGCAATGACCCAATGGACATCGAATCAACAGAATACAGTGGCGGCCCTCGAGTTGGCCCAATTGACATGCTAATAATATCAACTCCATCACCAATAGCATCATCGAAGGCTGCCAGCATGTCAGCATCAAAGCATGTATTCTCAAGATTTGGATTAGGGCCTGGAATTGGCCAGCACACCTTGTAAATGGCAAGATGCGCAAGGGGGGCACCACCAGAGGCTGTACCACGAGCGAAGCCGCCTAATGCAGACACATTCTGAACTACACGGCCTGCAACAGTGGAGGCTGTGTGTGTGCCATGGCCATCACCATCACGAGGGGATCTATAGGAGTATGTGGTGTTAAGAGAGCCGTAGTAAGCCTCATAATCTTTGACGTAGTACCGAGCTCCAATTAGCTTCCTGCCATGTTTCAAAATTGAAGGTCACCTTTAACCTTGTTTACATCTTTTTCCCCCTCTTTAGATACCAATTCGAATTCACTAATTGTTTTATAGAAAGTGTAAAGAGAAAGGCTACTTTCTTAATAAGAATATGTTTTTTTCTAAGGGCTACTTCTTAATAAGGATATGTTTTCTAGGGGCTACTTCTTAATAAGGATACATTCTTCCTGTTATGAAAAGGCCAAACACTGCTCCCAGAGCTCCTATTCCTAAGAGTCACATGCACCAGCTGCCAATAGATAAATAACAGTTTTTTTCCCTCCTTGTTTAAGGGGAGTAGTTGTTTAATCATCCTATTATATCACTATGGAAACCTCACGTTTTATTTGTTTTGTAGACAAATAGAAAGAAAACCTTTGTGCCCGCAATTGTAATGTCTGAACAGTCACAATACTTTCAAGGTCTAGTGCGTCCAATCCCTCCTCACCGCCCTCCCCGATGCACAGACAATTTTAACCCTCTAAACACTTGGCACCGTGTGAGTGTGTGTGTGTGTGTTAAAAATGGATTTTATGTGGAGCTCATTTTTCCAATAAGCTATAAAGAAAAAGGTTAGTGATGATCCCCATAGGGCTAGTTGCATCATTGTAAGTCGTCCTCACAACTCCAATCCCTTGATGGCTCAGTTTTCTAATTGAGTTAGTGACTCATAAACAACATCCACATGTATGTAGGAAAGAACGGCTATGAGGTGACAACTAAATTCCAAGCCATTGGCCAACACCATGCTAGTCACATCAGAGCATGTGAATCTAACCACTCCCAACACTTGGTAGTTTAGTATCAATATGTGCATGTATACAAATGGGGATACTGAATATGCCTTGCCATCTAATTCTAGTAATGGAGCAAAGCAATTTAGAGATAGATCCAACAGAACTTGGTTGGATGTGATTAAGAAGGATATAAATAGTTAACTTAACTGAAGAAATGACTCAAGCAAAACCGTATGGAAGAACAAGATTCATGTAACCGACCCTAAAATTTTAGGACAAAGGCTTTGCTGTTGGTGGTGGTGGTTGAGGTCGCATCCACTTTTCACGACTCCACTTGCCTTTTTAACTTGCCATATTGCACATAAATAGAATAAATCTAGTTGTACATTAGTCTCCAAACAACCCCTTAAAATTTGTAGGACAGCAAAGAATATGGACAGCAAAGCATATCCAATGAGCAATAAATGTATTTTCCAGGAATCTATGGTCTTGGAGCATTAAGCTTATAGGAAAGCCAAACTAAGAATATTAATACAAGATAACAGTTGACATGGAAAATAAAGAGAAAAAAAAACTAGAGTAAATTGAAGTTTTATGGGGCATATGATGGTGATAAATCTGCAGCCAAAAAACAATGAGGTAATTCTTATAGGAAATAGGAGTATTTTTTTTTTCATGAAAGTCCACAGCAAAACAACATGCAGAAGGTCTGAATTAAAATTTCAAATTGATTTAAAGCATTAATATGAAACAAAAAAGAAAAGGTTGTTTATAACCAACCTATTACAGCAAGAAGAATTGAAGGCATCTCCTTCCTCACAGATTCCTTTCCAGCGCTGAGGAATGGGTCCCATTCCATCATCAGCAAAGCTTTTTGACTCAGGCCATACACCTATCAAAATCATGCAAGAGTTTTGCATCAAACAACTTGTCTTTCTGTCCGAGAATCATGGTATTTGTATCCAAATTCAAATCTTGTTTTAGATAGATCTAAGATGAAATTTGGAAGCTAACACAGTTACACAGCAGAAAATGAGCAAATGATTAACAAATAATTTCAGAAATAGCAGCCAGTATTACGAAAAGAGTCAAGACTCTCTGATTATTTTTCCAGACGTGGTTATGGATGGTCAAGACTAGGGAGTAGTAACTCTATAGCACACACTTTTGTCATGCAGTCACACCTGTGGCGAACATGCCACTTTGTTGGATACCCCACACATATCATGCATTTCAAACATATCCTTAATTTTATAACATGTTTCGCTATTACGGGGACTTGTTTGACACATTTCTATACTTAGATATTGTTTCTGGTGAGAGAGTTGTTTTTTCCTTGTTGTTTAGTCCCACGTTGGTTAGGGATAAATTTTTTTGTTTCCCAAAACACTATTAGTAACATTCAAGAGAGAGCTAATAATCTCTCAAGGGTTTCACATTAACATGATATCAGAGACACCCTCTCTCCTCTCTCCAATTTTCTAAACCCTAGCCGCCACCCTGAGAGAGTTGTTTTTTCCTTGTTGTTTAGTCCCACGTTGGTTAGGGATAAATTTTTTTGTTTCCCAAAACACTATTAGTAACATTCAAGAGAGAGCTAATAATCTCTCAAGGGTTTCACATTAACATGATATCAGAGACACCCTCTCTCCTCTCTCCAATTTTCTAAACCCTAGCCGCCACCCT